ACTGAAGATACATGTGGGACTCTGTTTTTTTGGAGGGATACCAAATACCCCCAACTACACACTTCTAGTCTTTTATTGGCATCTGAATCAATGATCTTGACTAACACTAGAAAATGACTATTGTGCAAAGACAAAACAGAGTTTTAAGAGCAATTTCATTCTAAATATTAAAAACTGAAGAAAAATCAGATGTAGTTTGACAATAAATGAACCTTTATCATAATAAAACATAGAAATATAGAGTCTAACTGAACTTCAAAAACTAAACAGCAGAAAGGTGGAATAGCTTTTCAATGCAGCTTTGATGTCTTTACAGACATGCTTTTTTATTTCTAAACAACCAGCCATAAATGATTCAAAATCTCTCCAGTCTGGAGCTGAGGGCCAATATTTGGCATGCCTTTGATTTAACATCAGTCTTCACATTGACAAGCTTCCACATTTGGGCATTTCAAATACTCTAGACTCAAATGTCTTTAAATTAGCTAACTGCATGCCCTCCCCCTTTATTTATCAGCCCCTTTTAACTGGGCTATCCCTCTGTCTGCTTGGTGTAGTGGTTGGTTTTTGAGGCATTGCTCTTCACTAATAAAGTTTTATATATTATTAATCAGACAGAGTAGCCTAGTTTCTTGAGGGTGTGTGTGGTAAATAGCTCTGCATGTCCAAAAAGTCTCCACTATTTCCCTCCGAGGGCTCTCACTGCTTTTTGGCAAGCCTTTGTTTTCATCCAAAAACACTGGAGATGTTCAGAATGAAGAACATATTGGGAAAAAAAAACAGAATTGAAAACCTCTATGAAAAAAAATATACCATGTAAAGATAAATCTCTTCTTAAAGCAAAGATATTGCTATTTCTGTCTAAAAAATGACCTTAAAGCATTCTAAATTTTTTATTTTATTAGTTATTAAGAAGTGAAAATAAAGAAAGGTGAGACAACACAAAGCGTTTTGTGATGCCTGTTTAAAAGCTCTCTTTTGTCTTTTTCGTACCACTTTTGATTGGTTAATAAAAGCAAAAGTTTCACAACGCATAAATAAAATAGGGCTGAACCAATTAATTGGATGAATTGTGATAAATCGATTGTTCAAATAGTCAACTAAATTAATCGATTAATCTTTTACTGAAGTATAGAGACTCTAAAACTTGCTTTTAGATGACATAGCGACCCACTTAGAGCCGCAAGATTACCAAGATTTAAACATTTTGCATTTAAGATTAAAAAATGCTTTTGTTCATCCATACACTCTAATGAGAATTCCTTCAGTGGAAAAGTTTTATTTTCACCTGGTTTAATTAATTTAAAAAAAATACTTTTTAAGGAACCTTTGGTTATCTGATTATTAATCGATTAATCGAAACAAATAGTCGACAGATTAACCGATACGCAAAATAAGTGTTAGTAAAAATCATTGCAAATATCACAATGCTGAAGATTTCTGCATAAAATCTACCATTTATACGTGAAGGTAGTTTTGATATGGACAACATTGAGGCATTTAAAGTGTGGCAAGAATGTGTCTGATAAACCCAAACTTATTATTGTGTTAAAGTTGTGGTCATATGGCAAAATAAATATATATACATCAAAATCATATCTATCTATCTATTTATCTATCTATCTATCTATCTATCTATCTATCTATCTATCTATCTATCTATCTATCTATCTATCTATCTATCTATCTATCTATCTATCTATCTATCTATCAATCTATCTATACTGTACCACAACAAACTGTGAGACTAATTGAGTTTTTTTTTTTGTTTTTCAATTTAACATTGGGTGCAAATGACAAGTAATCATATCATTGTAGTTCTAATGAACATGTAATCCTAGTGGCTGTTTTTTCTTCTTCAAGTATTCTATAATGACCATTTATTACTATGGGCTACAGGTAAAAAAATATCCAGTTATTTCTTTGTATTTTTACTGCTAAATTTAAATTTTATAGAAGTTTGACTGTACAAATAAAGTTATGTAAATAAAACATAAGACTAAACATTAGCAGGTTTTGCAAGCATCAGGTGCAATGTTCATATACTGAGATGCTGAGATCCTCAAAAAATTTTTGGTCTCAGATTGCTTGGCCCAACTCAAAAAGTTAGGTTGAAAAAGGTAGACAAAAAAAAAATAAATCAATAAAAAGATTAGTCAAGCGCATTTCAGCTACATGAAAGTTATAATACGAGTTGATGAAGAAAATAAAGCTGATTAGTCAAGAAAAAAATCAAAGAACAACAATAAACGACTTGCCATTCTTTCAACCCTTTGGTATTTTGAGCTTTTACATTTTTTTATTTTTTTTTTTACTTTAGAATATTTTTTCTGTATTTTGGATACTTTAGACCTACATGAAATTTTCTATTTTTAAAGTGGGTCTTTAAAACATTTAAAACTTCCTATCAAACTTTCCTGTTTTACTCACGTAATGAAATGAGTCTTACACTTCAAATAAAAAAAGTTACTTTTCTGGTATTATGAGTCATAATCTCTCATATTTCATTTCAATCAACAAGCCCAATACACAGATTTAGGTTGAGATTTTATGATGTCTACAATTTATTTTCATAACTTAGGAAAATCAACTTCAAGTAAAAGAAAGTGACACTGTAAACAGGTGTAGGGCGGTTTGTTTATGGGAAGAAATAGGAGGCAGAAGACAAAATGTCAATGAATAGGTTAAGAATTAAACAACGGACCAATTAACAAAAATTATCCGCTCTTTTGCAAATTGTTATAAAATTCTACCCCTTCAAAATCTGCATCTTTAAATTGTACCCATCCCATTCTAAGAGATGGTAAAGAGCAGGTGATTAAACATTGTGTATGGCAATCATTTTGACAAACAGCTGATTCTTCACGGCTCAGAACATGAATTATCAACAAAATAGATATGCAGTGATCCATAATGATACATGGGAATGATGAAAGATAGTAAATCTATGAGAGACATGCATGACTTGGATGACTGTTGTCAGCGTATACCCTAGATTAACAAAGTTATGGTTTCAAACAGCTGAAATGTCATATTGCTAAAGTATGTCACACTACCCCTGCAGGTTCCTGCACACTGCCAATCAGTGGGCTGAAAAAAAGGCTGCTGCACAGTTACCTGAAGATTTGGGGTTTTTAAACTATAATTTTGAGTTATATGTTACATCTGTTATATTTCCAAATTAGAAGCAACCTTGCTTTTCTACAATTCAATGCAAATGAAGCACTTGGAATTGAACCACAGGATGTAATATTTTAGGTAATAATGTCTGTTTTCCAGTGTTAAGTAACAACCCTGGGTCATGTTAATTCTTTTTGTCTACAACATCTATGTGAAGATTGTTAAACTGTACAATTTTCTCTCAAGGTTATACTGTGAGAATCAATGAAAGCCCATCTTTTTGTACATACATCTTCTACTCCAACCAGCTATTTTTCTAAAGCATAATTGAAACTAAATGGATTACAGATAAGACTGCAAAGTCATCATACTGAACATATTTTTGCTTTCTCTCAAAAACAATACAAAATGGGCAATAATACCAAATTATCTTTATAACAAAAAATAAAATGCTATCATCTTTTCAATAAGATTCAATTCAATAAATTAATGATTATATTATTTCAGCCTTTACATTGTAATTTCAACTCATGAAGGTTATTGCTGTCCGGCAAAGGCTGCATATTCTAAATGCTCTCTATATTACTCATGCTGAAATATTCCCAATTTGACCTGCAGCCATCGCCATTTCAGGTTGTGCATCTGAGCGAACGGTTCATATCGACAGCAGAGTTAAGGAAAGGGTCACGGATTAAAGACGCAGGGTGAAGAATCCCCACAAACCAAACCCACAGCTGGTGTGCGCCCAGCCAAGTGTGTGGGACCGGGCGAGGATAAACCAGCATTGTTCTCACACAGTGTGAATAAGACACACAATTGGTGACCCTGGGTCAAGGGGCATGTGGCCGACACCAGCAGGAGAAACCGCTGGGCCCAGTAGGTACTGATCAATGTTAAACTAAGGGCCCGGCAAGCTGTGAGGCAAATGATCCAAACAAGCTGTTGTGTGAGATGAGGCTGAGTGAGAGTAAAAAAAAAAAGAAAAATCCCCCAGCTGTCGCAGAATACTACACAACTGAGAAAGTGAAATAACGTCAGAAACAACCAGGGCGTTTGAATCAACATTTTTAGGCAGGAGACGCACGGAGTATCTATAAATTTGTGAATACAGAAAACTTCAAAAGCAGGTGGGTCCACGTGTAAACCTTAGTTGACTTGAATTATTAAATCAGTCGATGTTGCACGCACCAGCCACCCCACGATTATAGTGTAAATTGACAAACTTTTCTCCAAACTACAACGGAAGCCACAGAGAGCTGGTTGATGCTTTAGGAATGAGCTTTGATATCTCCCTAAGGAATACACTGTGCCTCAATACGTGGTGGCTGTCAGGAAGGAAGACAGGAAGAAGGAAATATAAAACACATTAACTGGTCCCATCTATTTAGGATCCCAATGACATTTTTTTTCTCCTATTTTAAGATTAAAACTCTCCTTGATGATGAAAATAAAGGGAAATTGTCTTTGTTTTAATTTTCCGTCTCTTACACCCCTGAATTAGAAGCAGTGATATTGTTTATTTTTACAGACTTCCTGTTTGTGTTAAGAAAAATCCTGCCTACTAAAAACTCAACACACTTGCATACGTGACTTACAGACACAGATTTGGGATTGCTTGATTTTCTTCAGGAGAACCAGCTCCTGATATGCCGCCTGTACACTTCCTCCTCTCACCTTTGATGTGCTCCCGAAAATGTCATCAGGCGTCAAGGAAAGATTCTTTTTAAAAGTCCTCCCTACACACAACCCAACCCTCCAAAACACACATACATCCACCCACCTCGTGTGTGAGCAAGACAATTTGCTGTTGCTCACTCATCCTCATCGCTATCTCCCCCACCACTACCCCACTTTTCTGCAATCCATAACAGAGTACGTACCGGTTTCTACTGCAATCTGATAGCCGGCCTCCAGTCTCCGTGATGACCTTTCCAGCCTTTCTGTGTTGTCCAATAGATGCGCTCTCTGCAGTAAACAGAGAAAGAAAAAAAGAATTACGCTTCAGAAACAAACAGAAAATAAGAATTGATTGAGAGGACTGGGACGTATTTCAAAGAAACGCATCAACACTGTCGCCTAAACAGGCAGCCCACACGTACAGCCACAACATATTACAAACAGGTTGCCAATAACACGCATTACAATTTCTTATATGCTCACGGCCTATCAAGCGGATGCAGGTTGGGGATGACAAGGTAAGATGTGTTGCTTCCTCACCTTGGACATAAAAGACAAACTTCTTAGAGCTTTGTTGCTCTCTTGTATTGTTATATTAACTCATCTGCAAACAATAAATGAAGACCCTAACAATAAACTGAAGGGGGTTTCCCAGTCAAAACAAGTTGGACAAAACTAGATATTTCTATTTACGCATTTTGGTTGAATTGAATTTTTTTAAATCTTTCTATTTTTTTTAGATAAACAGAAATAAAGGTATTTTACAAATTTGTGACATTCACAATGGCCAATGATAACATACACCATTAGGGACAAGTCATAACAGAAACAAGAGCCTGTCAAAGGTACCTAGGTCCAAACTGAATATGTAATAATGGGCACTGGGGGAATCCATATGGAATCATGGCTGTGTACATAATACAAAGGGTTTGTTGCCATTATCAACAATAGGCATCAAGGGGATAATAAATAGAAATTACTTATTTACATTCTCAATTTCAATGGGTCTCGCACATCTGCTAGTATCTCTAGTGCATACAAAGAAACAGCAATTATATTAAGAGCAACATTAAATCAGTTTTAGTCTTATTCTTCAAGAAGATTTCATCAAAACTTTTACATAATAAAATAAAACCCATTTAGAGTTGAAATACACATTTCTGCCAACTTGCTCTCCAACTTGCCAACTTGCTCTTCTTACTATTGTTAATTATTTTTGTAAAAAACATTCTACATATTATGATCTTATCTACACCATCTTTACTATCTTATTTCTAAGCAGCTGGCTTTCTGATTTCTTCAACTTGACCTCAGGGGATTGTGGAATATGTATAACCTTATAACTTTTCTTGAAATAAGCATGCAGAAGTTTCTTTTATTTTCTTTTAACAAACATATTTCCTGGACTTAGACTATTTATTTGAAGGACTGACATGAAACACCTAGTAAAATAGTGTTAGCTCCAACTGCATTTTCAACATTTTCAGCAGTCCTGCAGTTTTTTGTCACAGGGTTCGTACCAATCTTGACTCTAGTTTCCAAGTTTTTTTTTTTTTTGACTCAACCCAAAGCTATCGGCCAAAAAGATTAGAATATGTTCAGATCCTCCAAAGAGATTTTGATAAATTAAACTCAAAAAACATTAATCATTCCAAAAAAATTGTATCTTGTTTGTTGTAGCTTGTGTATCTTGTGTTTTTTTCTTACCTAATTGTTTTGTACTAACAATGTTTATATTCCTGACAATTTCTTTTTATACCCATTTGACAGACAATTATTAACATAGTTTATAATATTCAACTTATAGTCAACTGTAAGGAAGTTTGACTGTATGACTGTAGCTAATGGCTTCAAGCAGTAGATTCCTCCATTATTTTTTAGTTCACTAGGTGCCATTATCTGTAATGTTCCATAATAATCAATCAGAAAAAGGGCGAATCATAACCAAAATAAATCAAACAGAAAGTTTTGTACAATTTATTTTAATCTTTGGGATCTGAGCATTTGTATTCTGTTATTGATATGCTAATTTGTGAGAAAGGATAACCAGATTTTCTTTAAGCCAAGTTATTTTATGTTTGGTTAATACAAAGTTTTAACAACTCATCGAAAGCACAAATAACCCTTATAACTAATACAGCCTCTGATTATCAACATACTGGGGATCTTAATGTTTAGGTTCAAAGTCCTGTAGGAACCAGCTTTCATTAAACCCACACTACACACAGTAGAGATCACAAACAGAATAAACATGGGGAAGTTAAGTGTTTACCCGAATGCTGTTTGTTTTGATGGCCTTTTCTCACACACTGCGTGAGGAAACTGATCAGATTTAACATGTTTGACAGTAAAAAGCAACCCGATGAATGACAACAATCCCACTGACAATATTTGATGCCCATCATAAGAGTGAAGGGGACAGGGGAAGAACTGAAATCTCTAGTCTTGGTTGGGCTGTCAAAATGTGTACCAGCTAATCACTCAGAGGAAATGCAGAGAGAGAGAAAAAAAAAGAAAAGAAAAAAATCCTACGACACACTTTTCAAAGTTTGACAACAAGAGGGATGGGAAAAGAGCAGGGAAGAGAAAACTCCCTCTGAACTCTTCCTTGCCTCGTTTCCTTTTCCTTTGTGCCGCTGACAGATGTCATTTAAAATTGCAGAGATAGTTTTAATAGTTAAAGTGAGGGCAGGGAGAGAAAAGGATGGATGCTAGAAATGGGTAACAAAACGAGTTTGTGGTAGGTGGAAATCAAAATGGAGACAATGGGTGGGACAGGATGCATTGAGTTATGTGCTTTTGGTGAAAGGTGTGGCAGCTGGCTTTGAGGGTGGGTTATAGGTGTTGAAGTCACAGCGGCACCAACAGACATTGTGGCAGTGCGCTTTCAGGGGAAAATGGTTACCAAGCTTGGGCAATAATGAGCCCCTATGGATCAGTTGAAAAAGCAGGGATGTATTGACATGCAATGCTTAAGCTAATACACCTAGACCATGGCTGCACTGCCTGTGTGTGCCTGGGAGCATGAGGCAGCCGGGGATACTGACAGGGCAGACGCACTCCCCAGGTTCTTCAAAGAGCTCAAGTGATTAGCATGTTATCATTACCATTCGAAACGTGATTTTCCTATTCCCTCTCGGCAAAGGTGACACGTCTCGGGGAGACGGCCGGCAGAATTGCTGCGATGGAAAGCTACTTCAAAGTGTTCTCCTCCTGAATTTCTCTCCCTCTCTGTCTTTTCTCTCCCTCATTCGTTCTTTTTTGGGGCTTGGGGGGAAAGGAGGGTGAGTGCGGGAAGGTGCGTAAGATGGGGGGGGGCTGCGGGGGTAGTGGTGTTGGTGCGTTTACTAGAATAATACGTTCTGAGTTTGATAGTTAAATAACCCAGAAAAGGGGTTTGATTTCAGCCACCAAGATTCTAGTAATGGCACCCTGGTGGTCCTAATAATGAAATCATCCACCAGCAGAAGTACAATAATACTACAGAAGAAGAAAAGAAAAGGATACTTTACTAATTAGAACTAAGCATCTTTAAGTATAACAGGAGCTGTGGAGCAGTCAAGATTCTTATCTGTACAACTGAAATGTCACTAAATTGTGAAAACAACAACATTCTAGACTTTTACTATCTCAAATAACCAGAGTTCTTAGGCTGATTTTAGGCCATAATATTTAGTGGCTCCAAATATTTTAGTCTAAAAAGGGTTAGACAGACGGAGGGATGCATGGATGCAAGGATGGATAAATGGACTAGGGTGATGGATGATGGATGGATAGACTCATTGATGGATGGATGGATGGATAGACTCATTGATGGATGGATGGATGGATGGATGGATGGATGGATGGATGCAGGGATGGATGGATGGATGGATGGATGGATGCAGGGACGGATGGATGGATTGATGCAGGGACGGATGGATGGATTGATGCAGGGACGGATGGATGGATAGAAGGATGCAGGAATGGATGGATGGATTAATGGACTAGAATGGATGGATGGATGGATGGATGGATGCAGGAATGAATGGATGGATGGATCAATGGACTACGATGGATGGATAGATGCATGGATGGACGGATGGATGGATGGAATGATGCAGGGATGAATGGATGGATGAATGGACTACAATGGATGGATAGATGCATGGATGGATGGATGCATTGAAGGATGCAGGGATGAACGGACAGGTGGGTGGATGGATAAACAAATGTTGAACAAGAGAACAAGTTGATGGACATATGTCAAAATGATAAAAGAGCGATGTTTAAAAAGAATGGTATAAGGATATATGAAAATGCATTGATATGGGGAAATGATTTGTTAATGTCCATATATTGTTAAATTTTTTTTTCTCGGAACAGTTACATTTTTCTTAAAACAAACAATGCAGATAATAAGACTTATTAAGGTTTAAACATGCACTACCAGCTCAAGTCTATGAAAATTCCTCTTGAAAACACAATATTATATCAAAAATACATAAATAATATTTTTAAATTGTATTAGATTGTATCAAGACCCCTTCAAGGAAGGTATTTGAATCCAGTATACAATAAACTACGTGCCTCTGTTAATGCACAGGTGCAGCTCTCCGCTGCCATAACTATTTCTGCCTATGTATGCCTTTTCATCTGACACCTACATTTTGAACAAAGATCTTCTTAGGAAGCACAAAAATGGTGTGTTTTTGTTGTTGTGCTTTTTGCGTCAAGAAACACTCCTCAGTTGTAAGTTATTAACAGGAAGCCCCTGAACAATGCAGCTGTAGCTCAAAAGAAATCTCTTCCCTCTTCTTTCGTTCTCCTGCCTTTTTACAATATCAAACACAGACAGTTACTATCACCATTTTCCAAAGTTCAGATGATTTCCTTATTATTTCAATAAGGGTGGGGGAGAGTCAAAGTGAATAATGATGACAGCTGTGATTCAGACTGACTGTGTGATCTTCTGTGCCGTTTGTTTGGGACTTGTAAGACGAGGAATTACAAGTGTCAAACAGCTGTGCATATGGGTGCTAAATATTTAAACATGTTTTTCAGCTGAAGGAAAAAGAAAGTGTAGTTTCTTTAAAAGCAAGGCTTAAGTGTGCATAAGCTTTGCCCGCCTTTGAATCAAATGTAGGAAGAGCGGGAGAGTTAAAGACAGCACATGGCAGGGAAGGCAAAGAAACAAGCGAAGATGATCAAGAATCTAGACTGGACAATGCAACAAAGGGTAGAAAAGTAGGGTAACTAAAGATGTCTTAAGACCCTCAGGCTAAAGTGATTGCAGAAAGAAAAATCAGACCAGCTAGAAGGGAAAGCAAAAGTACAGCCAAATTACACTTAAAACGCTTTACACTCTCACATCTGGGTCAAGTTTCAACTCTAAATTATACATAAGTGGGAAAAAGAGGAAGCAGAATTTCTGTGTTTGAGCATAATTCCTTATGGATTAACAAGGATGAGCTTCTCATGAAGGAAAAGAATTGTGAGATACCTAAATGAGGACGTCTTTTAAATCATTTGTATATTTTTTTATAACATTAACAAAATGCCTCCACTCCTTAATATTCATATTAAACTGGTTACTGTTGGATTGCTATTAAAACTGACAAACAGACCTAGTTTATACAAGGAAATGTAGGATCAGTCCAACCCAATCAGTCAGTATATACATTCCCGTTCAACCTTAATCTACAAAACACTCCAATCTGCAATGAGCAAAAAGCTTTTCTATTTAAAGGAAACTGGTAAATTCCTTTTTGATTCTAGCGTTTCAAGGAAATTTGCATCACTGACTTTCTACCAATCCCCTCTTCTCCTTCTCGTTATCTTTACAGCGAAACACACTCAGCATTTATGACAATAAAAAGGGTGAGCTTGACTGATAGTGGATAATAGATATAATAGATAAAACTCTGACATAAGTGTGACTCGTATGGACTCTTGTGATACAGATTATTTATATGGTTGGGCTGTATTTCAACAGCAAAATAAAGTTCAACACTGGCTGGGTACTGTAATGTTAGCACACTTTAGTCGATGCAGATCACTATTTGCAACATAAAACTATATCGACTCTATAAGATGGGAATTCAATTATTTCCTTCCATGTCGGCTTAGTTAAAAACAAAAAACTTACCTGATCTGGATTAGTATTGCACTGATACAGATACCAGTATCGGACGGGGCCCTGATACTGGACTAAAATGGTGGTATCGGTATTGGTGAGTACCAACAGATAAGGCGCCGATACTGTTTTGAGAGCCAAAAGTTTATTCAACTATTGTCACCCATTCCAGGTAGGCAATAAAAAGTTCTACTGGATTTACTTTATATTAGTCTTTTTTTCCTGCTTTACAAAGGTAGGCCATAGCTTGGCCGATACTGCACAGCCAGGTATCGGGTATCGGTATCCGGGCCAAAAAATGGCAACTAGACCCATTTATCAATAATATTCATATCCATCAAATTAGCAGCCTATGACTCCAACTAAAACTTTTGTTCATTAAGGTCAGAACTGTCCATTTAAACCATGTCTGTTCTCAAACACACAAATCTGAAATGAAATCTCATCTTAACTTTCTTACATTTAAGATTGAAAGGCAAGAGAAACAGTACCATGGTGAACTTATTACAAGTGGTTTGACATTCAAGATGTTAATTCAGACATGCACACTAGTTCAATGAATTGATTTTTTAATGAAACAGAAATTTCAGCTGGAAAGAAGAACATTTCTAGAGAAGCACTTACCTCTTCACGTAACTTTATCAGCTGCATCATGAAAGCGAAAACGTGGGAGCAGAAAGAAAGATAAAGAAAGTGAAGAACAAAACAGCAGAAATATAGCAAGCAGACCATCAATTCTGATGTTAGCTTGCAGAACTAAGCTTGATGTTACATCCGTTTGAGCGTTTAGTATTTAGAAAGTGTAAGAGGAATACAATAAACGAATCAAAGTACAGTTTTCAGACTGAATCCAGAGAACAAACAGAGATCAAGTCCTGCTGCTGTCAGAGTGAACAAGGAAAAGAGACTGGATTGTTTAACTTAAAATCTCAGGCACATTAGAAAGTCACATCATAGAAGCTAATATAGAGAAAGAAAAAGAAGTCAAATGTATTTGTGTAGAGATATTCCATATTTGTCACTTTACAGATTTTTTAGAGATTAAACAAAGGATACAAAGGAGAATCTCCCCCTTTGGAAAAGGGTTACAGAAATATATTCAAACTCTTTATTAGTGTTGATGTATCAACAATATTTGATCTTGCTTATCCAGACTCAATAAAAGTGTAAGTTTTCTAAAACATACATGGAAGATAATGTGAAGCTACAAATAAACTGCAGCTTCTTAATAGCACAAGTATTGATGATGCAAAATCTAAATACAGCTTTAAAGACATTTTTTCTGGAATCTTCTGACACTGTCAGATTTTTTATGTAGAAAAAGCAGTTGGAGCGACAGGTAACTATACTTATTTCAAGCAAAATGGTGCTCACCTGTCCAGTTCTTAAGTTAAACCGAACAGACATATTTGAGGTGCAAATTTATTCAGCTCTGAAATGGAACAAATGCTTTGAACTAATGAACGTTTTGCTGCACTAAGCAGGCAAAAGTTAATAAACAGATACATGGCTGCAGAAAAGTTCACATGCCCTCATTATGGAAAATCCTTAAGTGTGTTTCCATTAACCATTAAGGTGCACGGATTGGAATTACAAAGATAAACTTGCAAATTGAAAACATAAAGAAAGAGACAGGAATTAGTTGGACGATGATGGCACTCACTAGAGCCATGGCTGATATAATGATATATCGCACATGTTTTCAACTTCTTATCAGAGTTATTGCACTAACAAACGTATTCATGTGCAAATTTTGTTGTAATTGTTATTTGTAATGGAAACCAGCTAATTTGGGATTGTCAATAATCCCATTGAAAGGGAATTCTTTTGGGAGGTTGAGAGACACGTTAAATGAATTTCTGCAAGATGTTCAAGAATAACTCAGGAACCACCCAAGGTTCTAGCTGATCATCACCTAGAAGATGAATTTTAGAAGCCCTACCCCAAAATTAAGTTCTTCAAGTTCAATTAATATTTGCTGCTTCTCACAGTGACCAAAATTTTAAGTCAGGACAAAGCTTTCAAACCTAAGAAAACCGTAAGCATGGTGGTGGCACATCATGCTGAGGGAGAGCTGTGCCTCTGTATGTGCTGATTCATATTTAAAGTGAGTGGAATAATCAAGCTTTAGGATTACCCTAAAACTTGGAAGAAATTTAGGGTTCCAAAAAATATATTGCCCTGTAAATATCTCAGTTGGTTGGTTATAAACAAATGAAGGCGACATTAAGTTTCTGAAATGACTTGACTTTAGCCGTTATGGAACATAAGTAAATCAACCAGTTTACAGTGGTTAGAACTATTCTGGTCCGATAATATTCAGCCAGAACTATTTCAGCACTCTGTGGGTGGTCTCTTTCTTGTGAGAATGCTGACTGTTGTTAAAAATCATTGAAGCTGTTGTATAATCATTCCACCTTGAATAAACTGTTCAAATGTACTGTACCTTTAAAAGACCAAAATCAATATGCTATTCATGCCAATGATGAAAGATTTGTTCTGCCTCTGCAGGTAACACACACTTTGCACATGCATCAAAATAAAAGGCGTCACAGTCTGTAACAGTAGAAAAATTCCTCAACAGCATCATGACTTTTCATTTGATTTTAATATTTATTCTGTTTTTGAAAATCTTTACTCAAAAGCAATCAAAACATTGCCACTTTTTTAGTAATTTTTCAATTACATAAATGGAATGCTAGTTTATAATCTTGTCAGTACTCCCCCCCATTTTTCATTTTTTTACATGATATTAGAAGCCCCCAATAATAACTGTTTTTTTATGATTACATACACTTTATATACACCATTTCTCTATAGACTAAATGATTACTGTCAATAGATGTAGTCCAAAAAGGAAATAAGAGTTAATGTATTATTTTTTTTTTCTAAAGAGCTCTTGCCCTTGAAAATGTTGACAGAAACAACACATACTTTGGAGTGTCTTTTCCAAGTTGAGCAACAACTCCCTGCTAAGAATGTATTATTCAAGGGGCCAAAGTTTAAAACGACGCTGTGGATGTGGTTATTTGGGTCTCGAACGAACCCATCAGATCCTGCGATCTCTCTCCCCAGCTTAGCCATCAGTCAATGGATACCTAACAAAACTTGTTCTAGCTTATTTGTGCTGCCTGACTGATTGTAAGTCCCTCTGGAGGATTTGTTAAAACTATACTAGAGCTGCATTTCTTGCTTCTTGTTGTTTTCCTGTTCTTTTCTTTGGCATCCATTCTTTGGTATTGCCAACCGTGTTTGTGTTTCTAAAGAGATATACAGAAGTAAATACAGAACATTGTGACTGGTATAATTATTCTTGCATGGACGTCTTTCCCTGTGTTTTTTTTAATCCAGCCAGCATTCAAAATTGCACTGCTGCAATTTTTCTGTTATGATAATCAGCATTTTTTTTTTCAAACAAAAGATTTTTTTTTTTTTATCCAATACAGAATTCGATACAAGTGGTAATCTGCTTCCTTTGTAGCCTGTAAAATCTGGTCCATGCCGGCTCAAACCAGCACAATCTCTTGTGGCCAAGCCTTCTGCTGTGACTGAAATCGAAACTATTCCGTTTAGTGTTCGTGTGTGAAAAATGGGTGTGCATTTGTTGCTGTGTGTGTATGTGTCTGAGCGTGAGTTGCATGCAGAGAAAACGGGAGGGAAAAAGTGCAATAGTAGCCTACCACATTATTAAAAAAAATGAGCGATAGTGCCAATTCAGTCTCTGTCCGCATACAGATAACGAATAAATGCCGAAGTCTATTAAATCGTTCTTTAGCCATTATCGCAGAGCCAACACGCCATTTTTAGAACTTATGACGGTTGCCTATTTACTTAGCAATAAATCCTTGCCGTGTAACCAACAGATTTGTGACTGGTAATGATCTGCTATGCTAAGGCTATATGAAATTATCCTGACCTCTTTCAGATCGTCAGGAATTAAATTGACCGACTTGCACAGGCCCCTACCATCTTTTCCCCTTTCCTATCTCTGCCGTCTCACTAGATAAAAAAAAAGAAAATAACAAACATCCCTCAAGTTCCAAGTACTCCACTCACAGCAAGACAAGTGTTATCTCACCAACTTTTAAAATGAACCAAACAGGGATATATTATATATATATATATATATATATATATATATATATATATATATATATTTGTATAGCAAATAACAATTGCTGTAACTTTAAATTCTTCAGAAAGATTTGGCTGTTTTTAAAGTGAACATCTGACATCATATTAAAAATTATTTTCACAGAAAATTAGCTTTATGATGCTTGCTTTATACATGTTTAGAATCTTTATTTCGAAATGTTTTTTTGCAAAGGATATACTGTATATTTTATATATATATATATATATATATATATATATATATATATATATATATATATATATATATATATTTAAATATATATTTTACCCTACATACATACATAGACATATTTATGTAGGTGTGTGTGTATACATATATACATATATCTTTACACATATATCTGTATACATATATCTTTAATCCCTGTTTTAGTAAAAATTAATACCCTCAATAGCTTTGTTAATAATGTCCTTTCAATTTAAATGATAAAATATATTTGTAAGAACTTATAAAAAAATAAATAATAATATAATAGAAATTATAATAGATGCCCAGAATAGTAGATTATTTGAATTTTTTTTTATTGTTTTGTTTTTTTAAACGGCGTAATTAACTTTACAAAAGTAATTTTTTACCATACTGTTTTACAATACTGTGTATATATATATATATATATAATTTAATAATTTCTTATATGAGTGTAAATCAGATTTCTAACATGATTTTTTTTTATAGGCATTTTTTAAATATTAAATAAAACATGATGAGGATAAATATAACTGCAACCTTAAAAAGGATTCTTTATTAAGGTGTTTACTTAAGCTATTTGTAAAATATTCCATTTCTGACAGCAGGTTACTTCTGCAGCTCTCTAAATAAACTGGAAATTAGCCTACCAATAATAAATCTCAGCTCATGCTATATATGTCTCTAAGATGGGCATTTTTTAGGTCATCATTAAAATGATTATGGTGTAAAAAATGAGAACTTTATTTCCATTTGATGACTTCAGAGTACTTCTATGATACTAAATATGCAGGTGCTTTTGACTGTTTCCCTTTTCTTTCAGGATTGCTAATTTGCAAAAGCAGGGCTCGTATTGTGCGTGTGAAAATGCAGGACTGCATGTTTGCCTTGAGCTGCAGTAACCCATGCGTACAGACAGTGGAGTCCAGAGAGGAAATATTAGTAATCATAAGATGTTTGACTTATTTGATGGATGACAGAAACTGTGCTCCAAAAAAATAAAAACTTTCTTTAAAATTATAAATGAACACATTTTAAGAAAATTTTCACAGGTTACTTTAAGCCTAAATTTGTAACACACATTTTTTGTTTGTTTATTATGTAAAAAAAAAAAAAAGCTTATCTTGCTAATTTTAAAGTACATATCTGCAAAGATCAACAGAGAACCAGTATTGTTATTGCTCTAAACAAACATATTTAACAACAATATTTTTAAAGTCATCACAAATATTCAAGAGCAGGATTACATTTCTTCAGATTACTAAAGGTATTATTCAAACTGTTGTGGTGATATTTGTGAGAATTTTTTTTTTTTTTTTAGCAATACTGTCAAATAAGTTTGCTAAATTAAAATGTACAAAACATGCAAAAAAGTCAATGTTGTATGTCCATCGGTGTGTATCTTGGTTTCTACCCTTATTATGAGAATCTCTTATGAATCCAAGTCGGCCCCCAGCTGGAGAACAGCTGTTGGACGTTATGGGATACTGAGGTTTTGGACTGAAATGTGTTCAATTATGTCTTTCTCTTTTTTAAGACGTGAATGCGTTGGTCCCAATCTGGCTTTGGACAGACGTTGGTCCCATGCCCTGATCCTTCTAACTGGCCAGCCAGCTTTGCATTAAACAGTGTTCCTTCCACATGACTTGGTGACAAAAGTGGAGGTTTCGGCTCTCGATGGTCCCTGTGAGAGGGAAGGGGGAGGCCCCACCTAATCACCCTTGGGGGGGGGGGGGGGGGGGGGGGGGGGGCAGTCGAGCCACCCACACAGACGCTGTTTTGTACCCCCCTCCCACCACCACCCGATTAGCACCTTACCTGGCCCTCCGAGGAGATGGCGTCATCCCCCAGGAGCTCATTGCGCACCTCATCACTGTAGGCAATACGTGACCTTTTCTGCAGAGGGAGGAGAATGAGGGGGAAAAAAGGACAAAAAAAGAAGAGGAGGAAGAAACAGAAAGGGATAAAAAAAATAGAAAACAAGAGGGGAAATATGGTTTAGTGGTTCAGTTGATGGAAAATCATAACAGGCATTTCTGAGGCACGAGAGCCCCCTAACGGAACCTGGTGACAAACAGCGTCCTACACATGCAGGCTGAGGATGTTTATGTGCAAGAAAGTACTCTGAGTAATGACAACAAGCTGCAGAGCATTTTTATACCCCTGCATCCACCTATCCAAGGTGATCTATTACATCCAGTATTCTTAAAAGAACATCCCAACATCACCTTGCCCCATTTATACAAATACAACTTGAGTAATGAAAAAAAAAAACATTTCATGTGCATGGAGAGGTTGCGTAGTAGGGGGACAAGGAAGAGGACCATGAGGAAGTATCACTTGTCAGAGTTAAATCTTTTTTTTTAGGGGGGGAGGGCTGTCACCGCTGTCATCTTGGTGCAGTGGCAGCCTGTGTGATAACACCAATCCTGTGACTTAGACAGGGAATAATTCATCACCCATCGGCGGCCCATCGGATTTAGGGTTGCCTCGCGCACGGACACACAAAGTCTAACCCGCTGTCTCTCTCACTCTGTCTCCAGATAGACTACAATGAAAAAGGAATGCCATGTCCCAAGAAAAAAAAAATAAGCAACAGAAAAGAACACACAGCACCCCCCCCCGAAAAAAAGAAAACAGACAAACACTCAGACAGACATTTCATCCAGACTTCAAGAGAATGCCACCTCCGATTGTGCTGGAGTTGGCTGCCATTGTACTACTTGTTTACAGACGCCCGACCCATGGAAAAACAGCCTCTTGGCATGCCCTCTAAACTAAACACACACCTGCAGCAGACAGAGAAAGTGTTTACTGAGCCTCCTTCGCTGTTTTTCCTCCCTCACTGCCTTAACGGGGTTTTCTAGGTGGGCTGCAAGGAGGTGGGTTAAAAAAAAAATACAAAAATCAAAGGCAAACACTAGCATACGAATAAAAATGTCGCTTTTCTTCCAAACAAATTATTTATACTGTTTATTCTATTATTTATTTAGTTTGTAAATGACTTAAATAAGCCTGTGCAGTTTATTCATGTTCCTAACTAAATAAAGAAATTCAGTAAAGGATCACCCAATTACCTGCTGGAGACACTGTTTTCCTGAAAGGCTGTATTTTTTTTTTCCTTCCCTACTTTCTAAAGTTTTAAGAAGCTATTGTAGTAGGTACATTTCTACTACCTTTCTCAGGAGGAGCAACTTGAAAAACACTATTCTAAGAAAAAAAAAAAAAACCCAGAGAGATGATATCAAGTTGTTTGATTGAAATAACTTGGAATCCCATCGCAATTGAACCGACTTGATTTCTTTCCTTATTTTATCCCGTCTCTCCTCATAATCTGGAGCACTGAGTGGAAAGTCATGGCTGATGTGATTTGGCTGTTATTATCATGATGGCGAGAGCCACAGTTCTCAGGAGTAATTACCGAGTAGACAGAGGGGCCTGATTGACCCAGACCACAAAAACCCATTAGATAAAGAGAGCAGCCAAACAACACTCGACCACAGGGAGCAAAGCCAACCACTGAACGCCTACTGTGGGAGAGAAAAAAAAAAGAAGAAGATTGGCAGCATAAACTCAAACACAACACCCCCACCTCTTGAAGAGCACACGTAAAGACAGAATCGCTGTCAAAAAGTGTCATATAAGATCAGACTTTTCCTTAAACTGATAAATGTTTTTCTTTAGCACTTTAATTCTCAGTCCAGGGGTCATTTTTATTCCATCTCTTAGGTCAGTTTTATTTTCTTACATCTCCATTTATAACAGTCTAAAACTGTTTTGCCAATAAATATCTGTAGACTAAATATAAATTAAGATATTACATTTGTAAATCTAAACAATGTTTTCATTTTATTTGGATTTGATATCAAAGACCAACTCAAAATAATTTATAACTGACGGACAAAAGTTTTTTTTTTTTTTTTTTTTTTTTCCCATTTGTATTCAGTCAACTCTGTGTTAAAGCTAAATAAAATCCAGAGGAACCAATTGTCTTGAGACTTAACCTACTTACTAAGTGAGTCCTGCTGTGTCTGGAAGTTGTATATAGACAAATATTGCCTTTGGACATTTTTTTTTAAGTTTTTAAAACATTAGCTAAAACTTCCTTTATGTTCTCACATGTTAATGTGTGTTTTTGATGTGATGCCAGAAGATGAGTGTGAATAAAGAGAACCCATTAGTGCAGCTCCCTCACTTTTTGCTGTGCACTGCCATTTAGCTAGCAGATAAAATAAAAAAAAGGAAATTTTAATTTAAAAAACAAAAAATAAAAATCAGGATAATACACTTGGAAATATTTCTAGTCACAAAAAAATTAAAATAGTCACAGTATGCATACTAAGAGATCACATATATCACTATTACTGAGAAAACTACTTTATCAGCAAATAGAGATGTACAAAGAGTAAACTGAAGAAAATATATTTAAAATTTACAATAGTAAATTTAAAAGCACTAAAGAAAATATAGGTAATGTTTTTGTTTATCTATTTTATAAACTCTTTGTTATAAATCAATGGCAACAAATATGTTATTAGTGGTTTAATTTTTCAATAAGGTGAAATATTTTAACAGCAGTTTTTCCCCCAATAAATGATAACTTGCACCAAATTTTTATTTTACTTTTTTGTTATATTAGTGAAAAATAAAGTTTTTTTTCTTAAGGCTTCATGGAAAGCGTGTAATTTCATCTCTTTCTAAAAACAATCTTTTACATTTTTTATTTTGGTGTAACCGTTTAAAAGGGGAGCTCCATAAAAATCCAAACCACAATGTATTTTTTTTCAAACAAGAGAAATATTGTAGATGATTCTTATTCCTGACTTCTCACAATAATAGGCTTTATAATATAATTTATTTATTAATACAATTATAATAAAAATAAAATGATTCAAATGTAACAAAGCTGGTGGTTAGGCTATAAAAAACAGTGGAAAAGGTCAAGAAATATGGATATTAGTGCAAAACACAGCATATCTAAATTCATATGATGTTGCTTAGTCAGGTTTTTTAAGCACCACCTTGCGGTAGAGGTTAAATCAATGGTCAATATGTGTCTGTTTGCAGTAACTTAAAAAGAAATTAAAGATGCAAGTAGCAGCCTTAAAAAAACCAAAACAACAAGATTAAGGCAGCATGTACACTAGCACATCAGGCACACACAAACACCTTTTTGCCAGAGAAGGGAAGAAAACAAAACACCCACACTTTCCATTTAAGTCAAGTTTCATCTTAAAGAGCTGCAGTGCAACTTAGGGGGAAAGACGACTTCTCCAGTAATTGAGACGAAGAAACCCGGGAGAAGCATTGATTTGAATGCTGAGGCTTGCATCGCCTTCAAACCATACACAGGGTTTTTCCTGTGTTGTTTTGTATTTCTAAATAGCTGTTTGTTGCAGATGAATGCATGGAGAGGCTCCTGCATTGAGAACAGAGCAGATAACAAAGAGAGCACGAAGAATGGAAAATGTCACACAAATGAAAGCGCCACCGCCACTTCCCCCGTACCTACAGTATGCGCTCGGCTTTTTTGGATTCCCCCTCTGGAAAACAACAGATTCCTGAGCGATTGCTGCTTTTCCCGTTTGATGTAAAATATAAGAAGGTGGAAAACTGCTTGGTGTGGTAACAGATTTTCATTAACAGGCTGCAGTTGGATTAAATGGCAAAAAGCTAAGTTTTTAAGAATAACTGTATAGTAGAACCCATCTCTTCTTTATTTACAATATGTGGAAACAAAGTTCTGCATATTACGAAGAAAACCAACTAATCAGTCTTTGCAATCTGAATAAGTGCTTTCAGAAGATACCTTATTGCTCCTACAAGGAAAAAAAAAACTAAGCTTTTTTATAATCCTTTTGAAAGGTTTGTCTTTTATCACTTTTTTTAATCCAGGGTGAGAAACTGCTTCTATTCCCGGAAGCACACAAGACAAGTACAAAGGTACATCTTAACTTTATGCAAAGTGGCCTGCCTTTAAAAAAAAAAAAAAAAAAAGCACTCTACATATGCTGTCAAATGCTGCGACGGAGGTGCCGATGTCCTGTCAAAAAACACACGTTTTACCTCTGTTGACATGATGGCTGACAAAAAGGAAAAAAAAATGATAGGAAAAAGCAATCTTCTATCCCCGTCAAAATGCAATTACATATGCAAAAGGAACAATTTATATCAGATATGCAAATCAGTTGAGCATAATCCTCTAAGAAGAGACTGATCTTAATCTAATTATAACAAATACATGGATATTTTCCTTTCTGCATAATTCCTTTATAGTCTATTGGCTTATACATCATGATTATTTTAATGGAAAGATTTGTGAAGTTCCTCTATAAACAATAAAGAAGGGGATAAATATTAAAATACGGCTATAATTATAAACAATCGTTTCATTTCAATCTGATGCAGGTGGCAATCAATACCTCTGTCATGCGAAAAAAAAGGTCAAAAAGATCCAACAATTAAAATAAAACATGATAACTAAATTCAGTGACCCTGAGATCTCCGTCTTACTTCCTGCCTCATGTGACACAAGGACAAGACGAATAATTGTGGTGCCTCGAAAGCAGGAATAAAAAATGTAAACAGTTCATTAGATGGGAAATAAAAGGCGTAAAAATACCCAGGGGCAGAGTGTAATGAGGGGCCCTGAAGTTCCTCTGCAGACGCTTATTTCCTCTACTTTGCAAAGATTTTCCTTTTCGCCCTGCACACACGGCTGGTAGCATAGCATGAAGAATAATTAAGTATATTCAATTTATAATGCTGTGTTCTGTAACAGGCTTTTTCTCCAATAGGAGAGCGCCTGGTTAAGTTAGATATAATAACTCGTGTCCGGCTCCATGTGATTTTTAAACAGGCATGTGGCTTTTTATTTTTCTTGCTACAGTGTTCTG